GTTGGTATTCTTATCATTTTGGTCTCACAATATTTTAGTTTTTTTCTTTCTTCTTAATACTCTCAAATTAAACTCCAAGATGGATGTAACAACCCGAACTCGATGGTCCGAATTGTTAACCGGGTCCTTACCCAAACCCGAGGTCGTTTAGGGGCATTATGGTCAATTCTAAGGTCGATACATAATATACGTGTCACCCCAAGGCTTATAAAAAAATAATAATAGTAATAAAAAAAATGAAAATCATAGCTACAAAATATGCCAAAACAGTCCACTAACCCATCAAAACTTATAAAGAAGCGCCATCCACCACTTTCTTCCCGTGTTCTGAAAAAAATATTAAAGGGGCGAGCATAAGCTCAATAGGAAGTGTCTAAGACACACTTCTTATGACCCCGTAAATTCATATAAGAAATAGAGTACAAGTAAGTAGGGTCATGCCCTAAGGAAAACAAGCAAAACAACGACAATACCGACAATGCATACTCAAGTCATCAAACCACCAAATGTACAATATATGCCAATGCAATGCCATGCCATGCAATATCACTTCCCATTTTTGAAATGACACCGTTTCAATCCTCCAAACCATTAGTGCAATCCTACCCAAGACACCTCCAAGGCGTCACGAGGGAGGGGTTGGCTAGCTTTCCCCGACCACATGGCACCTCCATGGCATCGTCTGAGCCTAGGTAGCTCAGCCACACTAGAGTCTCTCTCTAGCCCCCCCCCCCCCCCCCCCCCCCTCCCCCCCCCTTCTAGATCACACTAACACCACGGACCACTAGACGCCTCTTAAGCGTTCGGGTTTTCACAACACTTTTCAAAAACTTTTCCCCAAAAACAATTTCATTTGTTTTTAAAACAAACTTTTCCCTTTTTACTTTCCCAATGATAAAGTATGAATTATACAAATCCTTCAACGCCGTGATAATATAGAAATTTCCTATATTTCATCCATATCATTCAAGCATGCTTAAAATATGAATTCTCACTCAAAATCACATTTTCTTACTTTCTAAATCATGACATTTTATATACTTTCAATTAGCAAATCTAACAACTTAAATAGATAAAGCATAAAATATAATAATTCATTTTCATAATTACTACATCACTTTTCATAACAATTTGAAAACATAGACATATAATACATCAACACTAAGAATGCTTATTCACCACAAAAGGTTTAATCATATTTCTAAGTTCACTTAACACCTAGCATGCCTTTATCACTTAAATACCAACAACCACAACAAACATAATCAAGAAAAATTAAATTTAAGCATGCATGCTTAGAGTCTAATTAAAAGAAAACTTCACAAAAAATCTAAGAAATTATATATTAGAGCACCCCTACCTCAAAGGATGCAAAAACCCCAATTCCAAGCCCAATTTTCGAAAATTCTATGGTTGGCCAAAGATGAAATTGCTTACATCAACTTGAAAATCTCGCCGAACTCTCTGTTTTGTCGCAAACGACACCAAAAATCTCTCAAAAATGAGAGAGAAATCAAAGTCTAAAGCTTGAAGCAAAAAGGAAAAGAAAAAGAAATGAAAATGAGGGAGAGGGAGAGGGAGATTTTACCGGGAGAGAGAAAATGAGAGGTCAAATGGTCTCTTGGCTATACAAATGTGCATTAGTGGTAGGTCCCACCAAGAAAAATCCTATTTTGACTTTTTTTTTCTTTTCTTATTCAAATTTACTACCCCACACACACACACACACACACACATATATAAATCACAAACATTACAATGGAGTATAATTCTATATATTTATCTTATAAAAATTATGTAAGGAAAATGATTGACAAGGAAGGTTAATGTATTTTTATTAAATATGAAACATTATTGTAATTTTTTCTTTGTCTCTCTTAAATTCATATAGTGTAATTTTCTTTGGAAATTTTCACGAGTTTTGAGAAGATAAACTTTTTTTAATTTTTAATTTTTCTTTTTTTGGGGATTAAAATTTTCTATTAATTTTAGGGGTTATAATTTCGATGATTATTATTATTATTATTTTAAACATACACTCTTTTTTTGGTCCACGACGAGGCTCAAACCTTTACCCTCCTCTTTAAGTATATCATTGGACCAAAGACCCTTTGATGGTTACAAGTTAATTCATATGAAATATAACTATTTTTGGGGGTATGAATAAAAATTTGAAATTTTGGATGTGCCCTCATAGCCCAGCCCCCTCTAGCTCCAAATTTATCAAAGTTACGTACGCGTCTTCTCATAACGACAAATGAACGTGTAAATGTTTTGTCAATGTTAAAAAAATAAATAAAAAAACTTTGTAAGTTTATAAGTGTTAATACCGTTAGAGGGGAAAAAAAGGTTTGTTAGTCCTAACTATGCTTAATTGAAGAAAATCTTTGTAAGTTGAACATTTTGTTGAAAAATAGAAATACAAAGACAAATTTCATATTTTAATTTAATAGTTGATGCAAGTAAAGACTTTATAAGTTTATAAGCGTTAATACCGTTAGAGAAAAAAAAAATAAATAATAAATAAATAAATAAAAAATAAAAAATAAACAATTTGCAAGTCGTAATTACCCGTTATTGAAGAAAATCTATGTAAGTATAACATTTTATTTTGTCCAAGTCTTCAAGTCGAAAAAGAAAAAAGTCTGGACGACTGGACTACTATTAATTGAAGAAAATCTTTTGTAAGTTCCCATTTTTTTGGTCAATGATATATGTTCAACAATGCAACGTAAGATATGACGACCTTTCAAAAAAAAAAAAAAAAACGTTAGGACTATAACTTTGGGCCAAAAACCATTTGGTGGTTACAAGTTAGATTCATTTGCAATATAACTATTTTTGGGGGTATGAATAAAAATTTGAAATTTTGGGAGGGGGATGGTCCCTCCTAGCCCAACCCTCTCTAGCTCCAAATTTATCAAAGGTATGCGCCCCCATAAAGACAAATGAACGTGTAAATTTCTTGTCAATGTAAGGAAAAAAAAAAATTTACAAAGGCAAATTTCATTTCGTGCAAGTAAACAATTTGTAAACTTTAATTACCCAAAAAATAAAAAAATAAAAAACTTTGTAAGTTTGTAAGTGTTAATACCGTTAAAGGGGAAGAAAAAAAGGTTAATTTATAAGTCTTCACGATGCTTAATTGAATAAAATCTTTGTAAGTTGAAAAAAAGGTTTAAGCATTTTGTTGAAAAATAGAAATACAAAGACAAATTTCATATTTTGATTTCTAGTTGGTGCAAGTAAACTTTATAAGTTTATAAGCGTCAATACCGTTAAAAAAATATATATATGGTTTTTTACAAGTCGTAATCTTTGCAAGTTGTCAATGATATATGTTCAACAATGCAACGTAAGATATGACGCGGGCAAAGTTCATCTCATCTATAAATTAGAGGGCAAGTTCTCTGTAATTCACAGGCTTTAATTAATTTGTTCTCTCTGTTTCACTTTTCAGGTACTGTTTCTCGTTCCACACGAGCAGTAACTCATTAATTAGAGTTATATCCCCAAGCTCTGTAAGTCTCTCTCTCTCTTGCTCTACCTGTACATGCATGCACTTTTTTCAACTAATTTTATTTATTTATTAATATTATGTAAAAAGAAAGTAAATACTCTCAGCTAAACAACAATAGAATTTGAAAGACTTGTAATCTCTTTATTTATTTCTTTGCATGGTATGTGGAAATTGTTTGTTGATGTTTATAGTGTACGCAAGTCGTACTCTGAACCATGTTAAATCTTCATGTTTTGTGTGGTGTGTGATTGTTACGACCTATACTAAGAATTGAAGAAGGAAAAATGATTGTGGCTTTAAGTCATGTATTCACTTTGCTTAAGTTATTATTTATCGAGGTTCTAATTAAGTTTGCTACCGGATTCTATAACAGAGGAATCCATAATTGCAATACTGATAAATTTTCTTGAACAATCTCGGAAATGTTTATAATGTGACTAAAAATAATAACAATATTTGAAAGAGGTTACGTTGTATATAATATTTTAATAAAGATCTTATTTATTGAGTACGAATTCAAAAGTCACTGATTGAACAGAAAAGTATTTTAGAAATAGATATGACTATTCGTAAATATGTACAATTCTTCACGAATAGATGTGTATATTTAAAATATTTATAAAAAAAAAAAAACCCTAACTTGTAACTTAAGTAATCACCCTCTTCTCCATTTTCTCCTTAATTCGCATCTAACATTTTGTCGTTATAAAAATAATGTACATTTTTATACGTAACTAGAAATCAATGAATTGTGTTTTTTATCCCGAATGCAATAAAAGGTTTCAAAAGGCTTTTTAAATCATCTTCTGCCCCATTAATATATATTATGTCTTATATTGAAGAAACAATTGGATATGAAATACTAATAGACTCTGGCAGGGATCATTATTCTGATCACCCAACTCGGTCACTCTGACTATCCCAAGTTGACCGCCGTTTTAGTTAGTCTTGTTAATTTGTAGGTGATGGCTCCTTTTCAAGACAGGAAAACAGCTTCCTATGGGACAGATTTTGTTACAAAAAGCCTCATTATAAACTCTTCTCGTGCGTATGTATTTTCTTAAACTTCCAAGAAAAAAATAAACAAAACAAAACAAATATAAATACAAATTAAAAAGGTTTTTGTATCTTATTTGAAAAGTATATATGTTAAAAATATCTGCAAGTTAATAAAGAATCTTGTTAAAAGGTCTGATTCACCTACTCATAAACCCTTCATTTGTAACATGTATCTAAATGTCTTTCTTGATTCAACGCTAAACATTTACATATTAATTTAGATGCGGCAAATATGGCACCAACTTGAAGCATCTTCATTTATGAAACAAAGAAACCATGCATACAAGCTAGAAAAGAAAACTGACAATGCTAAGACTATTTTGCAGAACTACAAGGTCCACAGCAAGCATAAACATTCTGGAAGGAAAGCAATCATACCATAGAGACAAGTGAACTCTCGAACGCGGCTCAACAATTGATGATGGAGTCCCAAATCCTCTCATTCCTAGTGATTTTCACATTGCTGCTCTTTCTGTTCATGCTACTCAAAACCATGATCACTTCATCTCCAAAATTGCCTCCTGGGCCATGGAAGCTGCCTTTAATAGGAAACATTCACCAATTTGTTGGATCTCTACCCCATCGCAGTCTAAGAGATTTGGCCATGAAATATGGAACTCTGATGCACCTCCGACTTGGACAACTTTCTTTTGTTGTCATTACTTCAGCAAAATATGCCAAAGAAATGATGAAAACACATGACATTGTCTCTGCTAGTAGGCCTTGTAGTCTTGCTACAGATATCATATCTAAGAATGACATTGCCTTCGCACCTTATGGGGATCACCGGAGACAACTTCGAAAACTTTGCATACTGGAGCTTCTAAGTGCCAAACGTGTCCAGTCATTCCGACCCATCAGGGAAGAAGCCATCTCGAATTTGATCTAATCTATTTCGACCTATGCAGCTAGATCTCTGTGCAATCTCACTGAAAAGATTTTCTCCATGACATACAGCATCACTACAAAGACGCCAGTTGGTAAGAAATTCGATGGGCAAGAAGAATTCATAGGACTTATGAGGGATACCATATAGTTATCAGGAGGTTTCACTGTTGCGGATCTCTTTCCTTCAGTTAAACTGCTTGATTTGATAACTGGGCTGAAGCCTAGAGCTGAAGAGACTCATTGAAAACTTGATAGGGTATTTGATAAGATCACTGATGAACATAAAGCTAAGAAGGTGGCAACAAAGTCCGGTGATATCGATGGTGAAGCTGATCAAGAAGACCTGGTAGATGTTCTTCTAAGAGTTCAGGAGAAGGGTAATCCTGATATCCCTTTAGATATGACAACCGTCAAAGCTGTTATCTTGGTTAGTACATTTACTTTCAATGAATTAAGTCCAAAACCCTATTTACATACTCAAATTCAGTTTTACACATGTGATCATCTTCAAACGCCAACATCCACATGCATTAATGTGTTCAATATGTAATGCTGGTTCAACTTCAATGCTATATTAGGTGTCAATAAGTCATGATATTGTACTATATTACCAATTTCAATGCTTTTTCAGGACATGTTCATTGCCGGAGTTGAGACATCATCTACAACTTTAATTTGGGCAATGTCAAAAATGCTGAAAAACCCAAGAGTTATGGAAAAGGCATAAGCTGAGGTGAGATGTGTTGTATGTCAAAAAGAAAATATTCTTAATGAAGATGATTCCATGAATTGAATTACTTAAGGTTAGTTATCAAAGAAACTCTCAAAATACACACTCTAAGCGCTCTATTACTTCCGAGAAAGAGCTGTGAAATCAATGGACATGATATACCTGCGAAAACCCAAGTCATTGTTAATGCATGGGTAATTGCTAGAGATCCTGAAAATTGGAGTGATCTAAAGAGCTTTCAGCCAGAGAGACTCCTTGACAGCTCAGTTGATTACAAGGGAACTCATTTTCAATACACACCATTTGGTGCTGGAAGGAGAATATTTCCTGGCATGTCATTCAGGATAGCTAATATTGAGCTTCCACTTGCAAATTTATTGTATCACTTTGAGTGGAAGCTTCCTGATGGAGAAAAGCAAGAAGATCTAGACATGACTGAGGTCTTTGGTGCAGCAGTTGGCAGGAAAAGAGATTTGTGTGTTATTCTAATTCCTTATCATCCTTCAGCTTAAGATATTAAGACAAGAAGGTAGAAAACATTGGATAGTCACTATTGAATTTTCAATTTCAGTATCATCCTGTAAGGTTAATTATGTTTACATCTATTAATAATGTAATAGCATGTTAGAATAATCTGTGTAACCATATTATAGAAAGATATAATAAGAACAGATGTTTTTGTGGGTTTTCAGAGATAATTGAATAAAGTGTGTGCTTCACTTATTGTCGTTTTTACTGCAAAGTTTTAAAGAACACTACTGTAATGTTCATGATTTTTACCATTTTTCCATTTTCTGGGATTTTTTCTGATTTTTTTTTTAGGTTATTTTCATTTTATCTCGGTATACGTGCCAGACACCGTGGAGTGTGCCGGGTGTGTTTGGGAGTTGGTTAGAGTATTTTCTTGGTTTAAAACTCTTGGGAATGCATAGGTTGTCATTTTGAAAAATTTTCCTTTTTTCAGGCCAAGAAGTCCCGGGTGGGACCCACTACAAGGATTATTGTGTACGAAGGTTTTATTTCGGGTCCATTGCATTATTGATGAGCACTGAAAAGTGCGAATTTAAACCCTTTAAGCTTGAATGTTTTAGGACCTTTATCTATCTTCTTTTCCCCTTTTGTCTATTTCAGGTCAATAAAGTTAAAACAGGCTAATTTCAATCTATTAAGGCCTTTTTGGAGTCAAACTAAGTCTTACTGAGAATCTGGAGCAAAAAGAGGCTGATCTGGAGCAAAAAGGAGGCTGATGCTGAAAACTGCCAAGTTGGATCGATCGAAGAAAAGTTGGATCGATCGAACCCTGATCGATCACACCATACTTCTGATCTATCACACTGTTGGTTGGATCGATCGAACTGTTCGCAGAAGTTATAAAAAAACAGATCTAAAGCTCATTTGGAACTAACTCGGGCTGTGCTTAAAAGAGGGGACCCTGGGGTCGAGTTCTCACATTTTTGGGCTCTAAAAGCCTTATATATATGAGAGATTGAACCATTTTTGTAGAGAGATTCATATTTTTTACATTGTAATTTCTATTTTGTTGTAGTTTCTCTCTTTAGAAAGTTAGAGATTAGGGTTAGAAGAAAAGAGGGAAGTAGAGGCACATCTCAAAAACACATCTCTAGATCCACACACTCTCTATCTCTAAAGCTTGAAAGAAGAAGAAGAGGAAGAAGATGATGGAGTCATGTTTGGAGCTTGCCCTTGAGGGTGTCATGACCACATCCACCTCCTCCATGATTGGCTAAATCTACACTTAGGGCTTGGATGAGCCCTAAATCTTGTGTAATCTAAACCCTTATATTTTTATTTTTGGAGATTTATATATATTGTTGGGATTAGTGGTTAGACTTGTGATTAATGATTTAATTATTCCTTATGATTCTCTATTTTAATTATATGTTGTCTTATGTGTGATTATTTGGGAATTGATCTCTACACTAAATTCTTTATATTGGTTGCATGTCTATGTGTGATTAATTGTAATACCCCGATATTTTTAAAAGATTTATTAATTGGTATTAATTTTTTTTTTTTTTTAAATGATCTGTTTGATTTAATTGGAATTAATTGCTTTTATTTTTTTAAAATAATTTATTTTATGCAATCGAGTGATTAGATTAATTGTCTTATTTTATTTAGATTATATTTCGTGATTATATTTGTTGGATTGATATGGTGTTTTGCTTTGTGGAATGCTCGAATTGTTTATTTGATTTGTATGTATTTATACTTGTGTGAATTGTTTGTTAATTATTTGTAATTATTAGATTTAATTTAATTATTTTATTATAATTGGATTGGGCTTAAGAGGAGTGAGACCAAGGGATGTGGTCTTGGGCTTGAAGGAAGCCTTGTTGAGTTAATTATTAAAGGCCCATGGTTATGAAGATATTTAAATAATTATCTTTGCATATATATAATTACGTGTATATAAATATAATTAATTAATAATCATTATGGAGGAGTATACATGTCAATATATATTGAATATATAGGTATATATGATTTATTTAACTAATGATTATTTATAGAAGGTATTTATATATATAATACAATATATATGTATATATATATATATATATATATATATATATATTATTTAAAGATTATCATTTTATTTGGTGGTCATAGTAGGAATAGGATTTGGATTTTAATGTGTATAAATATACACATAAGGTTTTAGAGTTAAAGGTTTACACGTTAGAAAAATAAGAGAGACGGAGAGAGAAGAAAAAGAGAAGGCTGACAAAGAGAAGGTCGGATCAAAGAAAGAGGATGTCAGGATTGGAAGTCTTAAAGCGCCGGTTTTATTTCGAAACCTTCAGGTGAGTTCTTCTCTAACTTTCCTCTTAGAACTCATAAGGATTTCACCTTGAGTATTAATACTTTAATTAAATTATTAATTTAAATCTTGGTTAGAACGGATTAATCAAAAATATTAATTAATTTTATTTGATTAAATTAGAATAAAATCAGAGTATTAAAAGCATGTTTTACTATTATTTTATTTTTGAAATTGTTGGATTTTAATTATATATATAAGTTGTATATATGTAATATCAACTGTATGCTTGATCTATGACCCAAGAAGGTTATTTAGGGTTTATATAATTTTTGAGAATTTTCTGTAATTTTCTAGAATTTTCTGGTAATTTTCTTTATTTTTAGGAATCTATTATATATTTATTTTCCTATAATTATTAGAAAATTATATATAAATATATATTGTTTATATATATACGCAAGTTTGTGAATCAGCGCATCAGACAAGGGGGTGAATAATCAAGTGTGGTGCGAGTATAGTATATAGGTGTACATGTAGATCTGGGCCACTGGTGCATTAAGATGATGACTGAAAACGATTCGGTGTGATGCGGCACATGCTATTACGGTACGCATGGAATCTGGACCTCTGATGGGTCTTGATTAATGGGCAGTTGATCTTGTGTGGATGAATGCATATGAGCTTATGTGAGATAATCTGGTATGGGTGTATACATATGAGCTTAGGTGAGATAATTAGGTGTGGGTGCATACATGTGAGCTTATGTGAGCTTATCTGGCGTGTGTGCATTTGTGTGAGCTCAAGTGAGCTAATCCAGTGTGGGCGCGCTCACAGTAGCGTTTGAGCTCAGCCAATTATTTTGCCTGTTTGTGACATAAAATTAAAACGGTCATAACTTAGTCAATTTAAATCGAAATTGGGTCATTCTTGAACTCAAATACAAGGATTTTTCGTCCTCTTTCCAATAGTACCAATTTCATTATCAGATTCCTATCATACTAAGAGATATTTACATTTTAGTGAAATGATGTTGAAAAGTTATTTAAACTGATATGGAGTATTTATGGGAAACAATTTGTGACGATATTTAGTGACGTTTAATTTGCGTAAATGTCGTTAATTAATAGTTTGGTGATGGAAGAAGTTATATATATACTTAATTATATATGTGTATACATGATTTAATTAATTATTGCGTAGGATGGAAGGAACTATATGTATATATATATTCATTAATGTATATGTATATATTATTTTAAATAATCAAGGATTATTATTGAAGGTATTATACATACATATATTATATAATATATGGGTATATGTATATATCATTTAAGATAATTAAATTATTATTCTTATTTGATATATTATATTAGGCTGGTTATTAAATTAATCTTATGCATATAATATGCATGAAATGATAATGTGTGAATTAATTTATTTTTAAGTTTAAATTGGATACATGGTTGAATTGTATGCATGGATAAGTTGCCATAGGCGTAAATATATTGCCTAAGTATTGGTATGAATAAAATACATATATAGAAAGTATGGATGAGTTGCTAGTTTAAAAATATAAATATATATATCTTTGTGGAGGCATGGTTGAATTGTCAATGCATAAATATGCATATGTGGAGGCATAGTTAAATTGCCAATGTATAAATAAATATACTTGTTGGGGGGCAAGGTTGAATTGCCAATATATAAAATAAATATATTTATAATGGCATGGTTGATTTGCCAAAGCATAAATTAATGGTTATGCGTTTTAAATGTTTAAATTGCATCTATGATTATTGTATGCATGGGTTGAATTAAGATTAGATGTTCCTAAATTAGAATAATCTAATACTTACAAGTTAGCGTATTATTTTATATATATTAATAAAATAATACTGGTGGAGACATGGATGATTTATATATCAGTGTGTTTATTATATGTAATTATTTATATATCAGTGTGTTATTGTTTATTAAAGTAAAAACTTTATTAGGTTTGGTTTTGATCAGAGATGATCTAAAAACTTTATTAGGTTTGGTTTTGATCAGAGATGATCTACTTATTGGTTTTCAGAGGTCTGGTAGAGAAAACTTGCTAGTAGGGTTTGACCCATGATTTATTTTTTTCAGGTTATTAGAGGTTCCAGTCTCGAGATTGAGGATCCGCAGCTGGGAGACTATCATTCATCTATTCATCTTGTGTACTTTTAAGTAGTATTGGAGTATTGGATAATGTTTTAAGGGGTGCTTGAGTTACGGGATTCTCGAATTGTAATTTTGGAGAATTATTATTCAATAAAATTATTATTTATTAGTTTTTTCAACGAGTCATTATTCTTTTTAATTTTTTTTGTAATTCGTGCTTGTTTAAATACTTTAAATGTTTTGATATCCCCTAATTTTGTGCGCGGACTTGATCAACTCGTGTTCCGAAATAAAGGGGTATCACATTAATAAAGGATTTAGTGATGGTTAAGCATGGTTTTCATTGAATAAGTTTGTCAATTAATTTGATAGATTATACTTATACTTGATGGGTTGTTCTACAATTTAATTCATTTTTGTAGATAGGTAGAGAATCTATTCTTGATTTGATACTCTATACTTATTATTGCAAATTCCATGATTCTCTAGATTGATGTGTGCTCTCATTAGACCCATTTGTTAACTAATTGATGGATTATGCCTTTGTCTTGGTGGGTTATTCTACACTTAGTTTAT